GTGTATCCAGGTGGTGTACGAGGTGTATCCAGGTGGTGTACTGGGTGTATCCAGGTGGTGTACGAGGTGTATCCAGGTGGTGTACGAGGTGTATCCAGGTGGTGTACGAGGTGTATCCAGGTGGTGTACGGGTTGTACAGGGTGTATGCAGCTAGTGTACAGGGTGTATACAGCTGGTGTACGGGGTGTATCCAGCTGGTGTATCTAGCAGGTGTACTGGGTGTATACAGCTGGTGTACTTGGTGTATACAGCTGGTGTACTGGGTGTATACAACTGGTGTACTGGGTGTGTACAGCTGGTGTACTGGGTATATCCAGCTGGTGTACGGGGTGTATACAGCTGGTGTACGGGGTGTATACAGCTGGTGTACGGGGTATATACAGCTGGTGTACGGGGTATATACAGGTGGTGTACTGGGTGTATCCAGGTGGTGTACTGGGTGTATCCAGGTGGTGTACGGGGTGTATACAGCTGGTGCACGGGGTGTATACAGCTGGTGTACGGGGTATATACAGCTGGTGTACGGGGTATATACAGGTGGTGTACTGGGTGTATCCAGGTGGTGTACTGGGTGTATCCAGGTGGTGTACGAGGTGTATCCAGGTGGTGTACGGGTTGTACAGGGTGTATGCAGCTAGTGTACAGGGTGTATACAGCTGGTGTACGGGGTGTATCCAGCTGGTGTATCTAGCTGGTGTACTGGGTGTATACAGCTGGTGTACTTGGTGTATACAGCTGGTGTACTGGGTGTATACAACTGGTGTACTGGGTATATACAGGTGGTGTACTGGGTGTATCCAGCTGGTGTACTGGGTGTATACAACTGGTGTACTGCGTGTATACAGCTGGTGTACGGGGTGTATACAGCTATTGTACGGGGTGTATACAGCTGGTGTACGGGGTGTATACAGCTGGTGTACTGAGTGTATACAGCTGGTGTACGGGGTATATACAGCTGGTGTACGGGGTATATACAGCTGGTGTACGGGGTGTATACAGCTGGTGTACGGGGTGTATACAGCTGGTGTACGGGGTATATACAGCTGGTGTACTGGGTGTATACAGCTGGTGTACGGGGTGTATAGAGCTGGTGTACTTGGTGTATACAGCTGGTGTACTGGGTGTATACAACTGGTGTACTGGGTGTGTACAGCTGGTGTACTGGGTGTATACAGCTGGTGTACGGGGTGTATACAGCTGGTGTACGGGGTGTATACAGCTGGTGTACGGGGTGTATACAGCTGGTGTACGGGGTGTATCCAGCTGGTGTATCTAGCTGGTGTACTGGGTGTATACAGCTGGTGTACTTGGTGTATACAGCTGGTGTACGGGATGTATCCAGCTGGTGTACGGGGTGTATACAGCTGGTGTACGGGGTGTATACAGCTGTTGTACGGGGTGTATACAGCTGGTGTACGGGGTGTATACAGCTGGTGTACGGGGTGTATACAGCTGGTGTACGGGGTGTATCCAGCTGGTGTATCTAGCTGGTGTACTGGGTGTATACAGCTGGTGTACTTGGTGTATACAGCTGGTGTACGGGATGTATCCAGCTGGTGTACGGGGTGTATACAGCTGGTGTACGGGGTGTATACAGCTGGTGTACGGGGTGTATACAGCTGGTGTACGGGGTGTATACAGCTGGTGTACTGGGTGTATACAGCTGGTGTACGAGGTGTATCCAGGTGGTGTACGAGGTGTATCCAGGTGGTGTACTGGGTGTATCCAGGTGGTGTACGAGGTGTATCCAGGTGGTGTACGAGGTGTATCCAGGTGGTGTACGAGGTGTATCCAGGTGGTGTACGGGTTGTACAGGGTGTATGCAGCTAGTGTACAGGGTGTATACAGCTGGTGTACGGGGTGTATCCAGCTGGTGTATCTAGCAGGTGTACTGGGTGTATACAGCTGGTGTACTTGGTGTATACAGCTGGTGTACTGGGTGTATACAACTGGTGTACTGGGTGTGTACAGCTGGTGTACTGGGTATATCCAGCTGGTGTACGGGGTGTATACAGCTGGTGTACGGGGTGTATACAGCTGGTGTACGGGGTATATACAGCTGGTGTACGGGGTATATACAGGTGGTGTACTGGGTGTATCCAGGTGGTGTACTGGGTGTATCCAGGTGGTGTACGGGGTGTATACAGCTGGTGTACGGGGTGTATACAGCTGGTGTACGGGGTATATACAGCTGGTGTACGGGGTATATACAGGTGGTGTACTGGGTGTATCCAGGTGGTGTACTGGGTGTATCCAGGTGGTGTACGAGGTGTATCCAGGTGGTGTACGGGTTGTACAGGGTGTATGCAGCTAGTGTACAGGGTGTATACAGCTGGTGTACGGGGTGTATCCAGCTGGTGTATCTAGCTGGTGTACTGGGTGTATACAGCTGGTGTACTTGGTGTATACAGCTGGTGTACTGGGTGTATACAACTGGTGTACTGGGTGTGTACAGCTGGTGTACTGGGTATATCCAGCTGGTGTACGGGGTGTATACAGCTGGTGTACGGGGTGTATACAGCTGGTGTACGGGGTATATACAGGTGGTGTACTGGGTGTATCCAGGTGGTGTACGGGGTGTATACAGCTGGTGTACGGGGTGTATACAGCTGGTGTACGGGGTATATACAGGTGGTGTACTGGGTGTATCCAGCTGGTGTATGGGGTGTATACAGCTGGTGTACGGGGTGTATACAGCTGGTGTACGGGGTATATACAGGTGGTGTACTGGGTGTATCCAGCTGGTGTACTGGGTGTATACAACTGGTGTACTGGGTGTATACAGCTGGTGTACGGGGTGTATACAGCTATTGTACGGGGTGTATACAGCTGGTGTACGGGGTGTATACAGCTGGTGTACTGAGTGTATACAGCTGGTGTACGGGGTATATACAGCTGGTGTACGGGGTATATACAGCTGGTGTACGGGGTGTATACAGCTGGTGTACGGGGTGTATACAGCTGGTGTACGGGGTATATACAGCTGGTGTACTGGGTGTATACAGCTGGTGTACGGGGTGTATAGAGCTGGTGTACTTGGTGTATACAGCTGGTGTACTGGGTGTATACAACTGGTGTACTGGGTGTGTACAGCTGGTGTACTGGGTGTATACAGCTGGTGTACGGGGTGTATACAGCTGGTGTACGGGGTGTATACAGCTGGTGTACGGGGTGTATACAGCTGGTGTACGGGGTGTATCCAGCTGGTGTATCTAGCTGGTGTACTGGGTGTATACAGCTGGTGTACTTGGTGTATACAGCTGGTGTACGGGATGTATCCAGCTGGTGTACGGGGTGTATACAGCTGGTGTACGGGGTGTATACAGCTGGTGTACGGGGTGTATACAGCTGGTGTACGGGGTGTATACAGCTGGTGTACTGGGTGTATACAGCTGGTGTACGGGGTGTATCCAGCTGGTGTATCTAGCTGGTGTACTGGGTGTATACAGCTGGTGTACTTGGTGTATACAGCTGGTGTACGGGATGTATCCAGCTGGTGTACGGGGTGTATACAGCTGGTGTACGGGGTGTATACAGCTGGTGTACGGGGTGTATACAGCTGGTGTACGGGGTGTATACAGCTGGTGTACGGGGTGTATACAGCTGGTGTACGGGGTGTATACAGCTGGTGTACTGGGTGTATACAGCTGGTGTACGAGGTGTATACAGCTGGTGTACTGGGTGTATACAGCTGGTGTACGGGGTGTATACAGCTGGTGTACTGGGTGTATACAGCTGGTGTACGGAGTGTATACAGCTGGTGTACTGGGTGTATACAGCTGGTGTACTGGGTGTATACAGCTGGTGTACTGGGTGTATACAGTTGGTGTACGAGGTGTATACAGCTGGTGTACGGGGTGTATACAGCTGGTGTACTGGGTGTATACAGCTGGTGTACGGAGTGTATACAGCTGGTGTACTGGGTGTATACAGCTGGTGTACGGGGTGTATACAGCTGGTGTACTGGGTGTATACAGCTGGTGTACGGAGTGTATACAGCTGGTGTACTGGGTGTATACAGCTGGTGTACTGGGTGTATACAGCTGGTGTACTGGGTGTATACAGTTGGTGTACGAGGTGTATACAGCTGGTGTACGGGGTGTATACAGCTGGTGTACGGGGTGTATACAGCTGGTGTACGGGTTGTATACAGCTGGTGTACTGGGTGTATACAGCTGGTGTACTTGGTGTATACAGCTGGTGTACGAGGTGTATACAGTTATTGTACGGGGTTTATACAGCTGGTGTACGGGTGTATACAGCTATTGTACGGGGTATATACAGGTGGGGTACGGGTGTATATAGCTATTGTACGGGGTATATACAGGTAGGGTACGGTTGTATACAGCTATTGTACGGGGTATATACAGGTGGAGTACGGGTGTATATAGCTATTGTACGGGGTATATACAGGTAGGGTACGGTTGTAGATAGCTATTGTACGGGGTATATACAGGTGGGGTACTACGGGTGTATACAGCTATTGTACGGGGTATATACAGGTGGGGTACGGGTGTATATAGCTGATGTACGGGGTGTATACAGCTGGTGTACTGGGTGTATACAGCTGGTGTACGGGTGTATACAGCTCGTGTACGGGGTATATACAGCTCGTGTACGGGGTATATACAGCTGGTGTACTTGGTATATACAGCTGGTGTACGGGGTATATACAGCTGGTGTACGGGGTATATACAGCTGGTGTACGGGTGTATACAGCTATTGTACGGGGTATATACAGGTGGTGTACGGGTATATACAGCTGGTGTTTTGGTGGTTGGGGGCGGGGGATGGGCGGAGGGGCAGTAACGCTCTTTACACGCTTTATGGCATCGGACCTGCAATCTTCATCATGGAAAAGCGATATATGATAGCATAATATTAACATACCTGATGCATTCATGTTTTATGTTAAGTCACAATGCAGGCTTGATTTCATGATCACGTACTTTCTAGTTTGCATCCATCACCTACCACGTTGTGCTCTTCTCGTTTTCAGATCATTGATCAAGGTCACCGAGAAACAGAACAGTACAACCGCGCTCCAACACAGCAGACGTTCAACAGTTTGAAGAGGTAATTCCATAAACATAAGCCACCAGTACCACGCATCTTTTGACAAAACAACGTAATTGCGAGACCCTGTCTAAAACAAACGAATCTTTACGAGACAAGTTTGACCTCACTATTCTTCATAATCCGGCGTGGGGAAGACCTTTCGGGCGCTCCAACACCTCGCATAGTCCCGTCTGAAAAGGAATAATGAATGAAGCGTGGCTACTCGGACACGCGCGCATAGTGAGCGGAATTATGAAGCATGGCCGCTAGCGATGCACCAGCGACATCTATAGTAATAGTGACCCCACTAACACTGATTCCGAAGAACTCTAAAGATTCATCAAAGAAGGTTCTAGCGAACTTCCATTTTTTTTCGCCGGGAAAATTTGATTGGTTTGATAGCTTGAACACATGTTTTCGTTTCAAATCTTTGAGGCTCTTTAAATATGTAGTGTTGACACTATAAATAAGTCGAAAGACTAATTAGGATGCCAGATTGGCACCCAGCCCCATTTCCCACGATTATTTCAAGGTTTCATTACAAAATTCAAAACGCAAGGATTTTTTGTCGCCAACTTGTATACGTGTTTGCAAAAACCGCTCCCGCGAATAGAGGTTGAGTGTGTAGTCAAGCCGGCTGGTAGGCCGCCGAGTCGACGGGCCATGCGTACAGTTACCGAGCTCAGCGGAGTAGTCAGCCCACAGGCGAAACGCGGGTACCCCTCCATGTGCTTGCGATGTCGCTCCTCGCCACCTACACGGCATGTGTAACGGTACTGCTACAGTGACCACTTCTTACACTACCAGCATGGCCAGAGCTAGCCTGGCGCATGTCATACACCTGGCCAGTGCCCTGGTGTTTTTGACCGGTGTGACATCACTGTTGATAAGTTTTGGACACATGAGATCAAAGGAGGGAGCAGGCAGTGCTAGTGCGAGGCGTCGCGTGCCTAGATCATTGGAAAGACTTCACCCTGAAGATGTCGAAATGATCTACATGCAGGGGATATTCTCGTCTCTGATGAACGCTACAATTGAGAGAAGCGACGACGACACTTTGCATGTTTTGCTGCCGGCGTTGGAAAAATTTGAAAATGTTATGGTTGAGGAATCTCGAAAAATTAGGACCGCACTGAAAGATCACGACAAAAGGATCAACTATTTGGAGGCTTTTGTTGCTAGGCAGACAGTTGAAGATGTTCAAAATACCCAGGAAATACACCCTAACAAAGTGGCCACAGGAACAGCTCGGATTAAGGTGGTGTCCAAAGGCAAGGGTAGGAACGAGGTGTTGAAAGAAGAAAGAAAACCCAAAAAGAAGCCTAAAGTGTTTAAAGAAACTTCGAAGAGTTTTTCTGTGGATGTGGAGATTGTCAAAAATGAAACGCTTGTTGTTAATGTTGTGAAAAACGACAGCGTTGTTGTCGTTGACGATGTAAAAAGCGATGCACTGTTGAAGAATGATACATTGTTGAAAAGCGATGCCCTATTGAAACCGGATACAGTGTTGAAAAATGACGCATCGTTGAAAACGGATATTGTGTTGAAAAATGATGAATTGTTAAAAAATGACACAGTGTTGAAAACTGATACAGTGTTGGTAAAGGATGCACTGTTGAAAAACGACACAGTGTTGAAAACGGATATTTCTTGGAGGAATGATACGGTGTTGAAAAATGATACTTTGTTGAGGAATGATACTATGTTGAAAAATGACACGGACGAGGATACCGTATTGGACAGTGTAACACCTTCAGTGAATCTGACAAATATGTCAGTGGTTGTGAATGAAACGGAAGCCGGTAAGGGAAATAACTCCATCGACACAACCAATGCAACTGTGTCGACACGGGAGCCTGATAACGACATCGAAAATGTCACCCTAGTTCCTCCGCCCCAGACCTCCCCTGACGCCATTAAAGCTATTACCATGCCTGAAACAACAATAACAACAACCACAGCTACAACAACAACAACTCACAAGCCGGTGACGACAGAAAAAGTTACCATGACAACTGCACAAACAATACCGGCGTCTACCACGCCAACAATGGATGTACTATCTCTCGAAAAGATTGTGTCGGATCTTCAAAAAAAAGTCGACCGACTGGAAAAATCGAGGTCAGGTGTGAGGTCGGGCAATTATAAGAAAAAGATGAAAACCATAGAGAAAAATGTTTCAACAATGAAACGAAAATACAAGAAGATGCGCAGTCGGATTAACTCACACAACGGTAAAATAGTTAGTTTAGAGATATTGCAAAGCGTAGCATACAGCGACAAGCCTATGAACATTATGGCTGAATATGAAGCCAAAAAAGCCATGGTGATGCGCCTTGATAAGATGGAGAGACGCTTGAGTAATTACAGGGACATGGTGTTAAGGAACAGGCACGAGATACGAGATCTCAATGGATTAACGTCCAAACATGAACACTATGTGAGTGAACTGCAGGTCGGGTCAGACCGGTTTGAACATAGGACCCGAGAAATTATTTCCAATATGAACGGCTTAGAACACAATATGGGGAACTTATTCAATTCACTCAACGGTTATATGAGCGACATACGGTGGGAACTCCGCGTCATGCTGGACCGAGTGTGCGGAGATAATCATCTTCATTGCTGATAAATCCTCCATAATTATACATATTTATTAATTTGTGCATTCGCGGAGATGTATCATCCATCTCGTGCCTCATCCATACCTCTGTCAAGTGCCACGTTCGTCAGACCACAATGTGTATACAGCGGTCGTGCGTGGAAATAATTGTGTTCTGTACAAGAACGGAATTCATATTCTTTGGAAGAAAAGCGTGTGTTGTGTATATGCCTTTATTAAATACGAGTGGTGCTAGCTTTGGTCAAAAAATACCAGAGGTGGCTTCTATTATGGCCACATCAGTTGCCCTTTTCTCTTTGGGCCACGGAGAACAGGAAGAGAATTGCTTATGATAACAGTTTAACACATGTCGATATGCCGAGGTCAAGGGTCAATCCTGTCACATTGTTGCTACTTTGTCGCACAAATTGTGGAAGGTATGTGTGTTCGTCGCCATCATGGCGACATATTGTGATGCACATTATGACGTCACTATGTGACGCAGTTATGACGTCACTTTGTGACGTTTGTATGTATGAATGTGTCATTCGGATGGGTCCATTAGTGTGAATACGATGCATCAGCAAAGTAAATAGATTGTGTAGGTCTACGTGTGTCCTCGTGAATACGGATTGTGTACGTGTGTCCTCGTGAATACGGATTGTGTACCTGTCCTCGCGTATCTGCTATGCTATGATACCTATTTATAGCGCGCATACCACAAACAGTTCCATGTTCCGCGCCATTGCCAAAACATTGTCAGGAAAATTAAACCGGAAGTTCCGTGCAGGATGTTCTGATTCCCGTGGGCAATGCTCTAATAGAATAGTTGACATAGTTTCAGCTCATAATCAAATACCTCGGAAACAGCAGGACTGAGAATGCAAGAAACGTGTTGTTCATTTTTACAGTTTTATACATAGTTTAGCATAAGAGTGGGACGGTGAAAGTGTTCGAAGGTCCTGTCGGTGTCTATGCACTGACTGTTGCAAAGGTTAGTCGACAGAGGTACACTGAAGTATGTCTCTCACCCAAACAAAAACAAGCACATGTGGTTTCAGTAATACACTTTATCTCAGCAATGATGAAATTTGCCTAAGGTAAAAGCAAGTAGTTTGTCAATTATATGTTTTATAAACATTAAAATCGGTTCAGTTTTTGAAAGACTGGTTATTTTCAGGCTCCCTACTACGTTCTGTAATCTCAACATTTGCGACAGCTGCAAGTCGAATTTCGTTCTTATTCGCTAGAGGAAATGCTGAATTTAGTTAACTATTTATCCTTTTCGAAGTGTGTTAGTTTTCCAGATTTCGGGACGTGTAACTATTTGTGAATGAAGACGTTTTTCTCATCAAGGAAGTTAGAAAGATATAGCATTACTTGGAGTCAGCTCAAGCGAGGCGTGAAGACGGTAGCCCCGAACTGAGGCTTTCTCACAAAAAGACAGCCTTTCAAATGAAACCATCCGCCCGGAAACACTTAAGTTTGATGCAGGTCTGGTGTACGGAGTTTTGGAGGTACCATATCTACTCCTGACATTCATCTCGTCTCGCTTCAATACTCACACCAGGAGGAGAAGGAATGTCCTGGTTCCTGTAACGCCGCCACAATGGACTTTCACCCAAACTAGCCTCTTTTCCATCAACTCCTCTACCAACCGTTGTCCAGAACGAGGCTACAAGGCAAGTCTGTTTTTCTACTTAAACCTCCCCTTTTCTATTGCTTGTGAATAACTCCTTTTTAGTGCAAATGAAGGGTTAACTGTCTTGTACATCAACTAAACTGGGCAGCGTTATTTCCATTTTGACACAGAAACTGTTATGTAACGTCATATGACGTCGCCGGCCAAAACCACTTACTCAGCATTGCATTTTGCCGATTAAGCACAATATTGTTGCAGTATTGCCCCGGGTTGTATCTACAGAGCTCACACTATGCCGGCCTCGTTTCACACAGGCATTTCCCAGTAGAGAAATTCTTTCTTTGAGGGTTAATAAACCTGCTTGCTTTACTTATCCTAAATGACCTGACAATTGAGAATTCATTCTCCTCAACAGGACAATAATCGCAAGCCATGCCATTGTCTAATAACATATGTTTTGTTTCTCACACACATATACATACGATATATATCATAGTGAATCAGCTGTGACGTTGCGTAATCGTTGGGGAATGATGGGAGGTGCATGAACCGATAGATTATCGCTGCAATTCGGTCGTGTTCTGGTCCTTATTAAAAAACATTCAGACGTTGGAATGTCTTCATATTTAGGCTGGTGTTGCTTCTGTCGGAACGGTTTGGGCTGATTTTTTAGAAGTGCCAAGAAATTGTCACCGATTTGCTTCACTACCGGTCCAGAAATTCGATAAGACATGTCTTTATAAGAAATTAATACAGCCAGGCTTTGAGGGAATTACTACCGAGGCTACATATTCTGTAAATGGATGGCTGAACTATGCAGTGTTAGTGGGATCGGGTTTAACAACCAGGGAAAGGCAATTTGGACATTAACGCCAGCGTTTCAATTGTGCAGGCTGGAGTATTTGTTGTTTACACGATTCGTCTGTCTAGCCGAACCGGCACTGATAAGCTGGGTAGACGTGATGCTGAAAACATATTATTGTAGGCCTTCAAATGCAGGGGCATTGTGTATGTTATGTCGACGATGGTGTAAGGTTACTAAGCTTCGTAATGCAGTTGTTACCGTTCCCATGTAATGTCAAAGTAACCCCGAGGAAGATTATCGCGTATGTCTGTGAATAGGTGATACATTGGAACTCGTCAGATATGAGGTGTGTCTGAATAGATGGTACATTGGGACTCGTCAGATATTAGGTATGTCTGAATAGATGGTACATTGGAACTCGTCAGATATGAGGTATGTCTGAATAGATGGTACGTTACAGCTCGTCAGACATGACGTTTGTTTGAATAGATGGTACATTGAAGATCGTCAGATATGAGGTATGTCTGAATAGATGGTACGTTGGAACTCGTCAGATATGAAGTATGTCTGAATAGATGGTACGTTGGAACTCGTCAGATATGAAGTATGTCTGAATAGATGGTACATTGAAGATCGTCAGATATGAGGTATGTCTTAATAGCTGGTACGTCAGACAGCTTCGTCAAACATGACGTTTGTTTGAATAGATGGTACATTGAAGATCGTCAGATATGACGTATGTCTGAATAGATGGTACATTGAAGATCGTCAGATATGACGTATGTCTGAATAGATGGTACGTTACAGCTCGTAAGATATGACGTATGTCTGAATAGATTGTAAGTTATACAGCTCGTCAGACATGACGTATGTTTGAATAGATGGTACGTTGAAGCCCGTCAGATATAACGTGTCTAAGTAGATGGTACATTGAAGCTCGTCAGATATGACGTATGTCTGAATAGATGGTACATTGAAGATCGCCAGATATGACGTATGTCTGAATAGATAGTATATTATGTCTGTGAATAGATGATAAATTAGAACTAAATAAATATGACAATTATCTTATTATGATGGTACATTGAATCTCATCAGATATGACGTATGTCTGTGAATACATGATACATTGAAGCTAGTCAGATATGACGTATGTCTGAATAGATGGTACGTTGAAGCTCGTCATAAATGAAGTATGTCTGTGAATAGATGGTACATTATGTATGTGATTAGATGATAAATTATAACTAAATAAATATGACAATTATCTTATTATGATTGAACATTGAAGCTCATTAGATATGATGTATGTCTGTGGATAGATGGTACATTGAAGATCGTCAAATAAGACATGTGTCTGTGAAAAGATGGTACGTTGACGCTCGTCAGATATGAAGTGTACCTGTATATCGATGGTACATTAAAGCTCATCTGATATGATGTATGTGTGTGAAAAGATGGTACATTAGAACACGTCAGATATGACATGTCTGTGAATACATGATAAATTGAAGCTCGTCAGATATGATGTATGTCTGAATAAAAGGTACATTGAATCTCGTCAGATATGAAGTATGTCTGTGAATACATGATCCATTGAAGCTAGTCAGATATGACGTATGTCTGAATAGATGGTACGTTGAAGCTCGTCATAAATGAAGTATGTCTATGAATAGATGGTTCATTGAAGCTCGTCCGATATGACATATGTCTGAATAGATTGTACGTTGAGGCTCGCCAGATATGACGTATGTCTGTCAATAGATGGTACATTATGTCTGTGAATATCTGATAAATTAGAACTAAATAAATATGACAATCATCGTATTATGATGGTACATTGAGGCTCAATGGATATGACGTATGTCTGTTGATAGATGGTTCGTTGAAGATTGTCAGATAAGACAGGTATCTGTGAATAGATTGTACACTGGAATTCGTCAGATATGAAGTATGTCTGTGTATAGATGGTACATTGGAATTCGTCAGATATGAAGTATGTCTGTGTATAGATGGTACATTGGAATTCGTCAGATATGAAGTATGTCTGTAAATAGATGGTACATTGGAACTCGTCAGATATGAAGTTTGTCTGTAAATAGATGGTACATTGAAGCTCGTCAGATATGAAGTATTTCTGTGTATAGATGGTACATTGGAATTCGTCAGATATGAAGTATGTCTGTGTATAGATGGTACATTGGAATTCGTCAGATATGAAGTGTGTCTGTAAATAGATGGTACATTGGAACTCGTCAGATATGAAGTATGTCTGTAAATAGATGGTACGTTGGAATTCGTCAGATATGAAGTATGTCTGTAAATAGATGGTACATTTGAATTCGTCAGATATGAAGTATGTCTGTGAAAAGATGGTACATTGAAGCACGTCACATATGAAGTATGTCTGTAAATAGATGGTACATTGAAGCACGTCAGATATGAAGTATGTCTGTGAATAGATGGTACATTGAAGCACGTCAGAAATGAAGTATGTCTGTAAATAGATGGTACATTGAAGCACGTCAGATATGAAGTATGTCTGTAAATAGATGGTACATTGAAGCTCGTCAGATATGACGTATGTCTGTGTATAGATGGTACATTGGAATGTGTCAGATATGAAGTATGTCTGTGAATAGATGGTATATTGGAATTCGTCAGATATGAAGTATGTCTGTGTATAGATGGTACATTGGAGCACGTCAGATATGAAGTATGTCTGTAAATAGATGGTACATTGAAGCACGTCAGATATGAAGTATGTCTGTAAATAGATGGTACATTGAAGCACGTAAGATATGAAGTATGTCTGTAAATAGATGGTACATTGAAGCTCGTCAGATATGAAGTATTTCTGTGTATAGATGGTTCATTGGAATTCGTCAGATTTGAAGTATGTCTGTAAATAGATGGTACGTTGGAATTCGTCAGATATGAAGTATGTCTGTAAATAGATGGTACATTGGAACTCATCAGATATGAAGTATGTCTGTGAATAGATGGTACATTGAAGCACGTCACATATGAAGTATGTCTGTAAATAGATGGTACATTGAAGCTCGTCAGATATGAAGTATGTCTGTAAATAGATGGTACATTGAAGCACGTCAGATATGAAGTATGTCTGTAAATAGATGGTACATTGAAGCTCGTCAGATATGACGTATGTCTGTTTATAGATGGTACATTGGAATGTGTCAGATATGAAGTATGTCTGTGAATAGATGGTACATTTGAATTCGTCAGATATGAAGTATGTCTGTGTATAGATGGTACATTGGAATGTGTCAGATATGAAGTATGTCTGTGTATAGATGGTACATTGGAATTCGTCAGATATGAAGTATGTCTGTGAATAGATGGCACATTGAAGCTCGTCAGATTTGAAGTATGTCTGTGTATAGATGGTACACTGGAATGTGTCAGATATGAAGTATGTCTGTAAATAGATGGTACATTGAAGCGGGTCAGATATGAAGTATGTCTGTGAATAGATGGTACATTGAAGCTCATCAAGTATGAAGTATGTCTGTAAATAGATGGTACATTGAAGCCCGTCAGATATGACATATGTCTGTGTATAGATGATACATTGGAATGTGTGAGATATGAAGTATGTCTGTGAATAGATGGTACATTGAAGGCTGTCAGATATGAAGTATGTCTGTGTATAGATGGTACATTGCAATGTGTCAGATATGAAGTATGTCTGTAAATAGATGGTACATTGGAATTCGTCAGATATGAAGTATGTCTGTGTATAGATGGTACATTGGAATTCGTCAGATATGAAGTATGTCTGTAAATAGATGGTACATTGGAACTCGTCAGATATGAAGTATGTCTGTGTATAGATGGTACATTGGAATTCGTCAGATATGAAGTATGTCTGTAAATAGATGGTACATTGGAACTCGTCAGATATGAAGTATGTCTGTAAATAGATGGTACATTGGAACTCGTCAGATATGAAGTATGTCTGTAAATAGATGGTACATTGGAACTCGTCAGATATGAAGTATGTCTCTAAACAGATGGTACATTTGAACTTGTCAGATATGAAGTATGTCTGTAAACAGATGGTATATTGAAGCTCGTCAGATATGAAGTATGTCTGTGTATAGATGGTACATTGGAATTCGTCAGATATGAAGTATGTCTGTAAATAGATGGTACATTGGAGCTCGTCAGATATGAAGTATGTCTGTGTATAGATGGTACATTGG